TGTTTCATCATAAAAATAGAATAAAATAAATAAAAAACAAACAGCTTTGAAAATCAATGAAGCAAATTTATGTATACATCTTATTCATTTAATTATTTTTCTGTTCTATACAAATCTGATTTATATGAATTCCGTTTTCATTTCAGAGAATTTTATCTTTGACTTTTTTCTTTTTTTTGATGTATTAATCTACATAGAAGCAAATGAATAGATGTTGTTATTTACCAAATAAATGGAAAAAAAATCTATCTTCAGAAGTTATTTTCATTTATTTGTTATTTTTTAAAATTATTTTTCTTTTCTCAATATGAAATCTGCTTTTGTAAACCCATTCCAATTTCAATTTGATTCAATTTCTTGACCAAAAGAAAACCTTACCTTACGTGAAATGAGCGATGCATTTACTTTTATTCTCACAAAATTTAAAATCAACATTTCCTTTTATCACATTAAAAATAACTTTTTTCTTTCACAATTCACAAGGCTAATTTTATTGCAAGTCAAATTATCTGTTTTGAAATTGCTTGTATAACACAGATCAGATGCACTATTAAAACTGTCACACTGTTACGCTTATACACAGATTTGCTCAAACGAGTATCCCTATTTTTATTGTTGACCATCTAACAGTATTCAAGCAACTTTCTGAGAATCCAAAATTAAAACCTTTATTTAATACACAGGGGATATACTCATTTCATTACCCCTGCATTTAATATCAGTTAATTCTATCAAGTTAATTCACACTTGTGATATCATTTTCTCTTCCTGTGGAACAAAGTATATGATTTCTTTTATTTTATAAACAAGTTAGAATTTTGCCCAGTCTGCTTACTTTTTGCACAAGAATTAGTATTCAAGTTGCTTAAATGGTAGCTAAAATCTTTTTATACTTTTGTCTAATAAATAAAAAGACATTTTAATTTAACTGAATTGGTAAAATTCTTGAATACTGTATCCAATGATGTATCAAGTAACTTTTATTTATTTCATTTTACATTTTTGTAATTTCTGCTTTTTGATCAATTGATTTGATTTTTTATGACTTATCAACCCTTTTTGGGTTATTTGAAGCTGAAATATTATGGAATTTAAGAATAACTATTTTTACAAGTGAATATTGCATACACAATTTTTGAAAAGAACAATGATTTTTCCAGATACAGCTCCTAATATTTAACCCATAGTAGGGGGAAAGGAGATGGAGTCATACTTTTCCAAAGAGTTTTTACATGTAAGTGAATGTAATGAACCGAATTGAAATTTGAACTTGGCTCTTCAATTTCTCATTTTAAGCCACTATCCATTAAACCACCTGTTTTCAGTTGCTTAATCAACAGATGTCCATAGTTGATTAAGATATAATGGAATTTAAGTACAGTTACTTCAAAATAAAGTCTTGTGCATGAATTATTTATCAAAATTTTAATCTTTATTCAATAATTTGCTTAGACAAGCATCCTCATCTGTGTTGTTGTCATCACATTTGTGCCCTGTACACTCTAACTTTCAAATAACTTTGTTGTTTGTTAACCTTGTATGAAACTAAAACCCAAAATTTTATTCAGTCCAGAAAAATTAAGAAATCAAGAACATTAAGACTAAAAAAAAATTTATTGCTTTCAGGCAGTTATCAAAAATAAACAATATTAAGATTTCACATTTTCACCCCTGAAGTGTTTAGTATGTAGTGTATAAAGAAAAAAAAGTAATGTTTCTTTACATGAACAGTGGCATGAGAATACTCTATATTGAATAAATGATTCATTACGAAATATGCTTAAAAAAATGGTCAGTTCCCTGTAACAGTCCAGAAAGTACCTGACTCCTCCTGTTATCCTTTACTTTTACAAGAGCCAGATCAGGCCTAAAGTGGACTACTGTTGCTATATATGATCAGGAACTGTTCTGTTTTCACTTTCCATATCTATGTGATGATAAATTATTTTCCACCCTACAACCCCTTTCTCACAGCCTTTTGCTGCCATTTCCATGGAAAGTGTTTAGACAAACTACATTCATCCAATATTAATCTTCACAGCTAAGACCCAGTATACTACACACATTTTACTGAACCACCTTCATTCCCTTCGTATTCCATTTGTGAGATGTAAGTTCCACTCAAGCAACTTCTTCCCACAAACCGCTACTTTATGGAACTAACTCACAATTTCTGGAATATTTTGGCTAATTTGACAAAATTTTCTAGTCTTATTCTTAATGCTTTCTTTTTCTTAATTCAAACCTCTCAAACAGAGTTCATTTTTATGCTTGGTCTACTGAGGATGTTTTAATAGCATAGCATGTTTTTTATACCTGTCACCAAAAATGATAGCCAACCTAAAAAGAATATTTTTCACATATTTTATTCTATAAAAAGTGAGTTTACTATATATAAATTAGTGAATGCTGGTCAGATAAAAAAGAGACTTGAAGCAACAGATGTGGTTCTACTGATGAATGCTGAAAATACCATCAACTGAGCATGTGAGCAATGAGGAAGATTTCATAAAAATAGGTCTGATTGATTGTTTCTTACTGCTTATCAATGTTATTTAAAGCTAGAGAATATCTTTTTACACTGTAAGAATTTTTGTTGATAATAATGATTTACTGATACAATTCTTACTAATTAACCAGTAATTGGGGGCAGAGAGTGAAGCAGTGGATTCATGCCTTTCCCAAGATTATTTATAAGTTAATATAATGAATATGACTGGAATTGGAACTTGGCTCTCCGATTAGCAATCCTGAGCTGTTATCCATTACACCATCTGCACATTCAAGCTTATAGCATTTTGTATTGCCAAGTGATCACCCATCTAGGTGCTGACCAGGACAATGTTGCTTAACTTTGGTGATTATATGAGAATTGGTGTTTCAATATGATATGGCTATAAGCTCTTCAAGAAAATAGGAATTACAATGATATTGATAATCAGAAAGAAAGATTTGAAATTTGTTGGACACATACGAGGTCCTACAGAAATTAACTCAAAGGATATAATAGAAGTAATGAGAAACAGCAAGTAGCCTATTCATTGAGTTTATGTCAATGGATTGCAGAAAAGAAACAAGGAGAAATGGTAAAGGGTGAAAAGGATAGAAATAACAGAACATTGTGGAGAGTCATGAATGCCCAAGTTCTGAAAGGACACAACAAGAAGATACAAATTTCTAAGAGGATGTGCCCTAATTTCAAATAGTAAATAATTTCTATCATTCTGTTTGAATATACAGCTGTTAATACATTTCTCTAGTGAGTAGAATTTAGGATTTGCCTAATCCCCTGCTTTTCTAAATGAGAATGAGTGAGGTTTTCTGACTGAGAAACTTACATAACAACATTAAGCAAGAATAGAATGAAAAAAAAGAGAAGAGGAGGGACAAAAAGAGGAGAGAAATAAAGAAAAGTAGAAGGTAAGAAATCTAAAGAAAAAGGAAAAGAAAAAACAGGTGAAAGAAAAAAACTAAATATACATACAGTGGAACCTCGGTTCACAAATTTAATTTGTTCCTGAAGGCCGTTCGTAACCTGAAATGTTCACAAACCAAAACTATATTTCCAAAATGAATCAATGTAGAGAAAAAAAGTCACAGTACAATAAAATTGGAAAAGAAAAGCACAACACACGAATGTATACAACATGGTGGTTGACTCAGAAATTTTTCCATCCAGGTTAACTCGGTTAGGCAATATTGTTTGAAAACTGAAATTTTGTTCGATAACTGAGGCATTTTCATCTTGAATTTTCTGTTCGAAAATCAATTTGTTCGACATGTGAGATGTTCAAGAATCAAGGTTTCTCTGTATATGAGAATGAAAGATATACAGAAATCTGCTTGCTGGTTGAACATCAAAAGAGAAAAAGTGATTATTTTTTTCTTTAATTCAATATGTCGTTTCAGGGGGTTGGCAGTTGTGGCTCTCTACAGATTTCTTTTTTTTTAATATCTGTGAATTGCAAAGACTTCTTGGGAGAGATAGGAGAGTGGTTTTCTATTGTCTTCTCCATGGTTTTGAATTCAGAATAGTTTCTTCAAGACTGGTCATAAACCAAAGAAGGCAGTCTACTCTGCTCTTTAATGTATAGCTAGTGAGGCAGAGTTGGGTCATGTCTTTTCAAAGGGCAGTAATGTTAATTGAACACAACAGATTAGTTTGGATCTTGAACATAGTTTAACAATTCCACATTGGTAACCATTATGCTACCCTTTATATCTGTGAATTGTCATTATTTCTTAAGGTAGTGAAGTGTTTTGCAGTTGAAATTCTCCGTGGTTTTGTAGTCCTTCCAGACTGGCTCCCACTGAAAGCTAAGGAACTCACTACTATTCAACTTACAGTTATGATGAGAAACAATGGATTCATGTCTTTTCCAATAGCATTTTTGTAAAAGTGAACATGAGGTGGGAATTTGAACTTGGCTTGCTGATTCCACTTTCCATGCCATTCACCATCTCACTATCTGCCTATCAGGAAAAGTTAAATGTAAAACAACTGCAATATATTACAATTATTTACAGAAAGATAGAGCAAAAGAAAGGTAAAAGATAGGTTGCACCAGAAAATATTTGTGCATTCCATATTTCTTTTCCACATACCAAACTAAACTGTCTGCATAACATTTACATAAAAACAAAGACACACAATGAGGATTCACAGAAATAAGCAAGAGAATGAAAGGATATGCATAAGCAGTAAAAAGAACAGAGATATGAGAAAATTATTGATTGATTAGTTTTCCATTACTTATCAGCCCTTTGCAGGTTATTTAAAGGCAGAAAATATTTTAAGATTGTGAAATCTTTTTTGAGATAATGGTTTAATGATAAAATTCTTACTAATTAACCCATAGATGGGGAAGATGAGGTGGATTCATACATTTACCAAGGTTATTTGTAAATAAGTGAATATAGTGAATCCATTTGGAATTGGAACTCTGCTCTCTGATTAACAATTCTGAACCATTATCCATTATACCAGCTGCACATTCAAGCTTACAGCACCTAGTATTTCCAAGCAGTCACCCATCTAAGTACTGACCAGGCTTGATATTGCTTAACTTTGATGATTGTATGGGAATTGCTGTTTCAATGTGATGTGGCTGTAAGCCTATGAGATAAGGAATAATCTTTGCTGCCAATAGGATTTCTACAGGTTTAGTTCATGCAATATTACAATTATGAATCAGTGGTAGTCCATTGCAGTTTCATAACTGTATTCTGCATATTCCATATGTACTGCAGAGGAATTGTAATGAATAAATTTACACTTTAGTATTTCAAGATATTTTAATGCAATTTTGGTAAATATATCTGTTAAAATGAGATGTCAGTGTTATTTTCATTTTTGTGTAATTTAGATGACAATTTACCCATAGCACCCTGCACATATTCAGATTTGTTTGCTCCTAAAAATAGATATTAACAAAAATGAATATATCTTCTTCCTCTTCTATGTTCCATGTCCATTCATAGCATAAATGATCATGCCTCTCCACAACTTCCCTTCCCTTGTGACTCAAATGTTATCAGTTTTAGTGTGAAAACATTGATTCGCATAATAAAATAGTGTAAGTCCACAACCTTATGATGAAAAATGCATTTATTTTGTGCAACCAATGCTTATTTCTCAACATAATCTCCTTCTTTTTTAATGGTTAATAATATTAACAGGTTGAACATTATGTAGTGAAAATATCAGATCAAAATGCAGTTAATGTTAAACTATGTACTTATTAATTATTATTTCACCCTCACATATATATGACTCTGAGAGTGATGCCATCAAGAGTTCTAAACACCTGGTAGGGCCACTCTTGCTTGCAAGGTTGAAGTTGGGGGCTAAGCCCAGCCATCCCCAAAGGCCCCAACAGTGGAAAAAGCGGATAACAATTATAACAGGTTACAATGTTGAACCAGTGGATAAAGAGGGCTACACATGTCAGACAAGCTACAGTAGGCACCAGCAGTCCATTGCAGTTTCATAACTGGATTCTGCATGTCTCATTCCATATGTGTTGCAGAGGAAGGTCATGAAATCAAGTTGAGGTCAATCTTAAACAAATTCATGCCATTGGCACTTTCTACTCTGATTTTCTTTCAATTTCAGCCAACTCATGCAAATGGTGATAGAGAATGGATGACAAGGGCAGGTTTTGATGAAACTGGAAACTTTGAATTTAGTCATCAGCACCATCGTCATAAAGGAAGTGATCAACAAAAAAGAAATTAAATTCTTGGATACAAGATAAAGCTGCCACCATCAATGCCTATTATAACATTAAACTACTTTACAAGAGTTAGATTAGCCCAAATATAAAGTATTACTGAGTAATCGGAAAGCCGAGTTCGAATTCCATTTGAATCCTTTACATTCATTTACGTGCTAATACCCTTGGGAAAGGTATGAAACCTCTTCTTCTCCTCCCAAGCTATGGATAAATAGCAGGACAGACTGGGTTCTATAGCCTTGGATGGCAACTGGTCTTCCACAAATGAAATGGCAACCTACTACGGGAAAAAATCTACCTTGTCAGTCATGTATCAAAAGATACATGATCACCTAAGTGTGTATCAGGCATGGTACATAACTGACTGACTGTGATATATGGGCTCTGGTTAGCCAGTCCACACTCTAACCTTGATAGATTTCAAAGTCATTAATACAACCTTGTGAGGGATGATATATTTTCCAACCTGCAGCCTTTTTTCTCACAGATGTAATATTGCAAACCTATTAATACTTTTTGGCAAATGTTTGGATGAACTCCATTCTTTAGTTCCACTAGTTCAGGCTTTTATAGTTAATCACACTATGTCCATGGACATAGTGTGATGGAACCACCATTCTTACCTCCATATTCCATTTTAAAAGGAGGAAGTTTCCTTGAGATGACTTTTTCCCCAAGAACTTCTGCTTTCTAAAATTGACTCCTACATGGGTGCTTCCCCAAATTAACCACCCTTAACTTCTTCAAAGTCAAAGGTCAATCATGATTGATTTTCCATATTCTCATCATCCTACTGTTACATTCATATCACACACCTCATTCAGTAACCCTCTACATTGAGTGGCTCTTGAGCTTCGGTGAGGATGAGTGAAAAAAAGCAACATTTTTGTGTTTTTCTTTCATCTTATTTCTCTATAATTTTTTTCTACAATTATATTAGCAATATGAATTGCAAATGAAAGCTTAACTTCTAAAGTGACTTGAAATCTTATATTGCTGAGAGTAAGTCTGTCTGGGACAGTACTTTATTAATTACACAATAACAGCTAACCAGTAGACATTATTCAGGTTCTGTCAGATAGTTATTATTCATGATCTGCCCCTAACCATATTACTTATATCTAGTTACATGAAATATAATAACTTTAAGTTTTTAAAAATCCTTTGCTGAAGCATATAATTATTACTTAATTTAATTAATTAATTTATTTTTTGCTACTCTTTATTGCCATGTCAGTGAGGCACTGATTAGATTTTCAAAGCTAAGAGATGCAAGTTCAAAGTTCATAAAAAGCTTGTTCTTTATTTGAAATAATTTATATGACAGAACAATTTATCGAAAGATAAGAATGAAGCCAAAGCATTAACTAAGACATTTGAATAAATTAAGCAAATCATACAATAGAAAAAATAACATTAAAATTTCCAATCTTGCTATCTTAAATTAATTTTCAAGGATATATTGTGGAATATCTATACATCTACCAAGTAAAGACAGTGGCTCAAATACCCAATTGGATTTTGTATTAGGTATTACCCTTCACTCAATTAACTGTTCCAGCAGGAGTCATGGGAAATATATATAAACAACGTATGAAGAAGCTTACAGAAACAGGTGAGGTGTACTTACTTAAGTGGACTCACTTACCAAGAACAACCTACAACATTTATTGAGAATCTACAAAACTTACCACAAAGTGATATACAATACTGGTAATGAGAAATTGCAAATATTTAACTGGGTTGTTTTACTCTTCAAATAAAACAAAAGTGGAATAAAAGAGTATGAAATTGTCAAAATATATGCTTTGTGCATCCTCGGAGAGGCTCTGTGCTTTGAAAAACTATTAGACCTCAAACTCGCACCTGACCTCAAGTAGAACTCATATATACAATCCATTGCTAAGAATGTAGGTAAAATGGTTGACTTTCTGTATTGCCCCAGTAAGTACTTGGCTCCTCCTGTTGTCCTCTAATTTACAACAGCCATATCAGGCCAACAATGGAATACTGTTGTTATATTTAGGTGGGAGCTTGATTAAGTTCAAAAGTGTCTCCAAGCCATTGTAAGTGACATATTATTCTCCACCCTCCAACCTCTCTCCCACAGGTGGGATGCAGCAAGCCTCTTGCTGCTCTATTGCTACTTCCAGAAAAAGTGCTAGAACTAGATCCCTGTTCCCACCAATTTAGCAAGGACACAACATGCCATTTACATAGTAGCAAACCAATCACATTTCCTTTGTATTCCATCAGTGAGAAGTAAATTTCTCTTGAACAGCTTCTTTCCATGAACCACTGCTCTGTGGAATCGACTCCCAATAAGATGCTTCCCTGATCGCTACAATCTTAACCTGTTCTAGGATAGGGTTTACTGTTATCTTCCACTGCTATCTTGAATTGCCTCCTAACATAACCTACAACCTTGAATGGCCCCAGGCCTTGTAAAGGGTAAACCTTACTTGTAAAAAGTTTAAGAAAAAAAATCATTTTTAGTGGATTCTGACAGTCTAAAATGTTTTAAAGCAATCTTTTTTGAAAGAAGAATTAAGAAAGTCAAATACTAACTTGGTCTAAAGTGAACTTTATTGTACATTAATATGGCATAGGCTTGCTAGACAAATTAAAAAAAAAAAACACAAAAAAACTGAATCAATATTTTCTAAATAAATATGGAATATCCCAAATTAGGGAAATAGGTAAAAGGTAGTCTCTTCTACCTGATACAGGCACTCGTCACTTAATGACTGGATTCCAATCCAACGACCTGGTCAATAAATGAGCTGGTTACCAAGTGAGAAGTTGAACCTGATTCTACACATGTAATGGGTTTGTGCCAATCAGCTTCAGAGTGATTCAATGTCACTTTAGTATTATTTGTAACATTTCTAATATATTTTTAAATGTTTATACAGTACAGTAATGTGCTGAACAGTAAATGTAATAAGCATATTTGAAAATTAGCTCTAAAAAATTTCATTAGAAACCAAAAAAAAAGAGTACTGAACTGTTACATGATATCTGTCCTCTTACATGGCAGTGAATGCTGGATAATCTCCTCAAAGATGAAGACCTCTCACATCAGAGAATGCTGGATAATCTCCTCAAAGATGAAGATCTTTTACATGGCAGTGAATTCTGGATAATCTTCTCAAAGATGAAGATACTTGAAGCAACAGAAATGTTGTTCTGCAGATGGATGCTGAGGATATGATGGGCTGAATATGTGAGCAACAATAAAGTTTTAGAGAAAATGGGGGACAAAAAGGAAACTTATATTTAACATCAGGAAGTGACAGTTGAAATTTATCGGACAAATACTGAGAAACAAAGCCTTGGAAAATCTGATATTCACAGGATAGATTGAAGGCATAAAGGACAGAGGAACACAATGCATAACATACTTAATCATCTCAATTAAATTGATGGCCAAACAAGTTTTAGGAGAAATAACAAAAAGACAAAATTTATTAAGAGCTATGAAGGACAGGAAATTGTGGTGAGCCATGATCACCTATGTCCTGAAGATTACTTTGGTTTGCAAAATGGGAATACAAGTAAATTTTTATTTAATTTTTTTAATTTATTCCTTTTATTTCTTTTGAACAAAGAGAAAACAATGGCAATCAAAGTTTTTATTTTCATAAAATATCCGATGCTAACTGGTTGGATTTTTATTTTATGGTTGGTCATAAGTCCAGTCATTATGTGAGAAGTGACTGAAGTATAATTTTATTACAAAAGATTATAAGGTACTTTGAAAGAAATGAAGTGAATTGCCTGCCATTGAATTTGGTTCTCAAAATCTTAGGGAATCAAGTTTTTGAAATCCAGGAGCTTGCACTAACAATTAATATTCCCATCAATGGTAATGG